CCAAAGGAGCGTGCATGTTCTGGTTAAAACAGACAAATTCCCTCACACATCTCTCTGTAGATAAACATTCTGGTGGCCCGTCCGTACGTTTGTACTACATGTGGTGGCCCGTTACGTGTTCATAAATGGACTGTGTATTCGTGTAAAATTGATATCATGTTGGCGTGAAAGAAAAATTGCAGATTTTGCTGTGATGAAACGCAGCGTGCTGAGCTGGATGCTTGGAGAAAATACTGCATGTTTGAAGCTGGCGATGTTTTGAAAGCTGAAATAGAGTCATTGAGTCTTTATGAAAGCTGAAATTGTACGTCTGTTGTGTGTAACTAAGCTGATGAGCTGTGGAAAGCGTTTATTCTGTTTAAAAGGACGGAGTTTCTGCTGCAGACCCGGTTTTGGTCCGGTTCTGAGAAGTTCGAACGAGTTTGTTTTAAATGGTTTAAAAGACGTTTTGCCACGGAGCGCCGCCTCCGTTAAAGCTCAGAGTTGATTCGCTACATTTTTAACAGAAAATGGTGCATTTTCACAGTTTAAAAGACGAAAAGTTGACGGACTATTTCAGGCTAAGACTAACATGCTAGTTGGAAAAACGATCTGTGATTGGTTGAAAACGGCCGTGTGTAACGTTTTGATTGGCTGAGAGACGTGTCAGGTCGTAAAGCCCACCCCCGTGCTGCTCTGTCATTGGTAGATTCAGTCACGTGACCCGGAAATGAAAACTCGTTTTCATAGGGAATTTCAATCTGTTTTTTAAAGCTGAAATAAGCTTTAAAGTTGCATTCTGATCCGCTGTTACGTTTCTTTGACGCCTAATCGCTGAAATGTTGCCACATTTGAGTTTGAAATCCGTCATTAAATGGTGTTTTTGGACCACGCTAGCCGATGCTAATTTTAAGCTAACAGCTAACGACCGGATGAGTGACGTGTCACGTCACTTCCTCTGAAGTCAGATTGTAAAGCTTGGTTGCACCGAAGCCCTTTGCTGTGCTTAAAATCACTAAATGACGCTGACACAAGTCCCCAAAAAACTCATGTTCATGCAAAAAAGTCGTGCTTGTGGAAACAACGCCACGTTTAAGCTTTAAATCCGTTCAGAAATGTTGATTTTACCGAGTTTTAGCCGAAGCTAATTTTAAGCTAAGCGGCTAACAGATGTCAACAGAACGTTCACAGGAAGTTGTCATACGCTCCTGCTGGTAAAAAGCTAAACACTGCCCCCTCCTGGGAAACTTGATATCACAGTTTCACTCAGTTTTAGGTTATTTTGATGAATTTAGACGTGCTTAGACGCATTTGATGAGTTAATAAACGTTTTTCAAGCTGAATAATCACTGTTATCTTGCATTTAAAAAGTAATTAAGGTATTTATGCAGAAAGGCATTTACCAACACATTTTTATTCACTGGTAATTCCTCATGAAAGAGGTGCAAAATAAAAATTAGAAACTTTTTAAAAGATACAGTTACAGATATTCACAGAGTTGATAAAGTTTACTCATTTGCTAAAAGATAATGCACGTTTAATTGCTAAATCACTAAATAAGAGTAAACTTATCAGAAAAAAGAAACTTTTCTGTTTAAGTTACCACCTAAACAATTACATCTTCTTATTTATTTTTAAATAGAAGATATTGGCAGGAGGACAGGAGTATAACAGTTTTTCTGAAGAAAGACTGATTATTCCTCATCATCAATTTTCTTTTTTCTGTTCACCACCTGGTTTAATGAGTAGCTGTTAAAATAGCGAATTCTGAAGTAAACGGTTTAAAAAAAAAAAAAGCGTTTTTAAACTGATGTTTGCTGTAAGACTTTTTAGAAAAATTGCAGGTTTATAAAAATTCAGTGCTTTAGAGTAAAAAACACTGAGAAGCTTGGTAATCTAGTATCTGTTAAAAAATAAGCACATTAAAAGTAACACTGCAGACAAGCATTTACTTAAATATTCATGAA